TATATATATAATCCATTTACGTCCAAATATTTCTGCCTCATGCAGTAAAAGTGGCACGCAAGTCTTGCCTCTCGGCATCCGATCTGAATCTGCGGGTTCACAGCCAAACTCGGGTGTAGTAACCTCATCATCCTGGCTGTCAGGGTTTTATGTGACAGCATTAATGTAACAGTGAAGAAAGTCCATATAAGCTACATAAAATTGGAGGAGGAAGGGCTAGAAGCAGGTGGAGGCAGAGAAAATTATACTTTTTCATGACACACATGACAAATCTAATCACAATAGGACATTACAGTACTTTTCAGGGTGAGCTGTTATCTGTTAGCATAACAGGAGGAGAAAAAAAACACCTGAATGTGAGGCAAGTTTTTAAAAAAAAATAACTTAAGAGTAGGATGTCTAAGCTCAAAGACAAGCATCCTTCAGTTTTCATAAAGAGCATATGTGTTAACCTGAGGGGTCAAAAATATTGTTTTATTTCTCTTTTTCTTTTTTTTTAAAGAAAAAGCAGCAGATGAAAAGCAAGGTCCTCGTCTCTTTCATCTCTGATTCCTGACGTTAACAAGCTGTACCTGCTCAGAGTCACTTGATGTGCAGATACATGCAGCGGCACTTCAAAGTCATGAAATGCTCTCCTAAAAAAATAATAAATAAAAGAAAGAAAAAACAGAAGAAAAACAAAAAACGGAGAGACAAACCAGGTCAACTTTTGACATCAGCAAGGATGTTGTTGAACACAGAGGACAAAACTCATCCGGCGTGGGCCGAGGATTTATCTGTGCACACAGAGCAGGTGGTGAGCTGGGTCAAACATTTTCCCCAGCGTAATTTTCTCCAATCTCTCTGTCATCATACAGCTGTGTGTGTGTGTGTGTGTGCGTGCGTGCGTGCGTGCGTGCGTGCGTGTGTGTGTGTGTGTGTGTGCGCGCTGAGCTCAAACTCCACACTCATTTTATATCTGAACCTGTAGGCCTTTTTTTAAAAAACAACTATATGCTTTTTTAACCAGCACTAGATGTGAAGCGTGCCTAAATTTAGCTGACACATCCCTGTAATAGTCTCATTCTGTCTTGGCTGATTTCAGCTCGATTGCTTTGTGAGGGAGATTTAAAGGTGCGGGGAAGTCATCACACCAGCTTCTACCACCTTTAATCTGAAGAGCTGAAATTTGTTTTGTGGAATTTTCTCTTTCGCCCTCGGACGGATGTCAAACGTGCAGAAAAGGACAGATTGAAATGCCGTGACATGTTTGTTTATTATGGCTCAGTAGATCTAGGATTGCATTTGCATACTGTAGTTGTCTGTTTGCAAAATATCTCACTAAACACTGGATGGATTTTAATAAAACTATCAGGAAATAATCATTGGGGTGCATTTACGACTGATTAACTTTTGCAGCAGGCCCAATTCAAGATGGCCACCACAGCTAGCTGAACTTGTAAAACACAGAAAAGGCTCTAATTCAACAGGTTTTATAGATATCGTGCTAACTTTTTGTGTGGTAGAATCTGAGTCATTTACAACAGGGATTATAATCTGAGATGTTGCAACAAAACAAGATTGTGGAGAATTATTTTCAAAGTGCATCATTTCTCGACGCAATGATTTCAGTTTAAGCAGGCAAATATGTATTTCTTTAGGATTTGCTATGTTATTAGTTATTTCAAAGCTTTCATTGACAAAAATATGAATTAAAATATTCAAATAAAAGCTATGATCAGAATACAGTTTATACGTTAACTTCATTGTCTGACAACAAAAGCTGATGATAAACGGTTTGTCTCTGAACTCAGAGACCCGCATGACGTCACTTTGACATCATCTGCTTTCAGATGCTTAGTGGAGCTCCTGTTAAATCATTGTGTGTAGAATAATAAAAAAAAACAGTGACCTGCACTGAGATTTTATTACACCAAAGAAAAGACGGACTTTCACCCTAGCAAAAGGAATCACGATTTATTACGCTAATTTTTCTCTGCAGAAATCAATACATTTTCCAGATTTTTTGTGCCTCTGAAAGATGGTTCTTTTAAAGCTCCTCCGTCCTCTGTTAGAAGCAGAGAAATACTAAAAGATAAATCTGCCATTAGGCAAAAACGACCGTGTTAAATCTCTAAAAGTCTCTAACAGCCTCCCGGCTTGACCTCACGTCTCCATCGTCCTCACTGGATGAAATGCAGACAACCAGTAACAGTGCAGTTACACTGTTGAAATTTAATGTTTAATATCTGAATTTTTGCTTTGAAAATGGCAGGGCCATGTTTCAAAGTTTTTGTTTTTTAAAATGACCCAAAGAAAAATATGGTTTTAAGATTAAAAAAACCTGCTTTGTCATATGTGCTAAAATGGTCACTTCACCCTCAGACAAAAAAATAAACTGTATATCAGTCAACACATCTGACAAGTGGCCATCTCCTGGTGTCAGTCAGCTTTGTAGTTATCAAGGTTACGACTACGTGATTGGTCCTCAACAAAGTCAACTTCATAGACCAGGGGTGCCCAAATCTTTTCCCTGAGTGGGACAAAATAAAAATGTATCCAAGGGATGCGGGCCAAATGCAATAATATTATACAACAAATTCAAATACTTTTTAAAGTAAAGCCCTTTTAGTTTTTATGATAAAGCTAGTAGCCAGTTCAATGGTTCAAGTTTTCATAGCTCATCCACTTGGAGAAAGTTTGGAGTACGCTCGGACAGCAAAAGCTCATGGGACATTTGAAAGTATTTGTGGTCTTCTTATAAAGTATGCAAATCTACATGTGGGCTTACATCTCATGTAAATGGATCTTATTGTTACTTGCATTTCTTGTTTAATCTTTAATATAGTTCAAAGATTAAGTACCATGAGTGGAAGGACCCAGCCTACCCTTTCTAGGTGGTCCGAGTCCTTGGTAGACCACAAAGATTGGGAAAAAATTAGCTGTGAATTTGGACAGTCTAGCCTCCCGTCCTTTTTCTGGCGTACGTCGTTCTGTCGACTAACAACCATGACGATGCTAAACAGAAGCAAAAATAGATCGAAATTAGAAAAATATCAATATATTAGTATTATCAATATCAAAAAAACAACAAAATTAGCTTAAAGGGAATATTTGGAAAAACTAAGGCTATGTGCATGTTTATTTCGCTATACCAGCTCGTGTTATTTAAAAACACGTCTACACAATTTACAAAAGAGTTAACAACAGAACCGCTTGAAACTTTAAATTTTTATACCACCATATTTTTATTTAAAACTGTTTTCCTTTCTCTCGCTTTGTCTGCTATTATGAGCAGAAAAAAATCTCTGGTCGGCTCGCGATGCGTTATGAGATATGGTGGGCCGATAAGGATCCATCTGACCTGTCTCTCAAATCGGGGTAAAAGAAAGACACATTTGTCGGCCGCATCGGAGGAGTCTTCGTATTTAGGCAGCCTCCGGTGCGGCGCTGTGATGTAAGCGGACGATGAATTCGGCCACTGCAGGACCCGGCCTCTGAATTTGGACACAGCCATAGTCATCGGTCCAATATTTATAAGTGGAAACGCAGTGTTTCTACATAGAACAACAAAAGAAAACTGCTGACGGGCCAAATCAAATGGCTTGGTGGGCCAACTTTGGCCTGCAGGCCCCACTTTGGGAACCTCAGATATATACCACTGTTGGAGTTGGAGCCCAGTTTACAAAAGCTGTCCTGTACTTTTGGAACCAGAGTCTGTGCATTAATGATGTAAGGCTTTAGGCTCCACCCACTTCCTCCTCTGCACACAACCAGGTTGTCACATATTACTTTTTAGCATAAAGTAACTTAAGTTCAGCTATGTGTGTTGGTAAAAATTAATTTTTGCACAGACAGCAGCGAGGTAAGAAGTTCGCAAATCAACAAGTCAGCGTTTTTTTTATTAATTGAAATATGTTTGTTTACAATAGAAAGGGACAAAGATTTGATCACGTTATTCACCTGAATGCAAAAGTTCATTAGGTTTAAAGTAATAAGACTTTGTTAAATAGTGAATGTTTTGCACAAGTGGACTTCAAGATAACTTTAATGAGAACAGTTTGTTTTTTCGCGTGTGTTTTCTAGGTGGTGCAGCAGATTGACTATTTAACCTCCTCTATTGATTTGGACGAAGAGGAGGAGGAGGAGTGGAGGACCAGAGGAGACACTAAGCCTCAAAGCGACAGGAGCTACAGTTCTGGTTCCAGCTCCACTGAGGTCACAGTGATCCACCAGAGGCCTCCAGGAGCTAAAACCCAGCCAGGACCCATGGAGCCGTGCGGCTTCGTCAGCAGAGATCATCACGGCAGAAGCTGGTCTCCACAGAATGCACATCTGACCTCGATCAGCTCGGGAGTTTTGTCAGAAAGGACTCGGACGCTTCGTCTAACGTGTGGTTCTGTGTCCACTTTGAGAAAAGGTGGGCCGCAGCATCTTGCAAATACCCTCCCCCCATCAGATCCGCCTCCGATTCCAACCCTCCCCACTTATGATCACGTTCTGTCTCCCAGAAGAAGCATTCCGAACCGACCTCCCACTCCTGGTCTTTCCCCTCTAACAGTGAACCTCCATCACCCAGGCAGTCCCAGCTCACAGCCTCACTCTCCGGGTGGGGCCTCCTCTATCAGGATCTGCACCGTCTCCCCTGCCTCCCCCTTATCCCCAAAGCCTTATCCACCCCCTGCGCTCAGCCCATCTGTCATCATAGAGACCAAAGTCAGATCAAATCAGACCCCACAACGCGATCTCCCATCTGCTGGTCTGCTGTCACCATCCCTGAGCCCCCCTCAGTCTCGAAGCTGCCCACCCACCAATTCAGAGACTCAGACCTCATCTCTGGACGACCGAGAGCGCCGAGCATCCTCAGTGGGACCCTCGCATGTTAGCCAGCCCCCCGCGACGCGAGGCCGCAGAGGTCGCAAGCCTCCTCCGTACCCCCACAGCGGGCTCGCCGAGCCCACCAAGAAAGTCAAGGAGCCCCGCAAAGCTCCTCCGTACCCCGAGAGGAGACGGCTGCTGTCAACCATCGTGTGAGACGACGCAGCAAGGAACAGTGGGAGGCTGGATCGAACAGAGCCACGTATCAGCACCGGTCACATGTCTGCAGGCGTGTGCGTGTGTGCGTGTGTGTGTGTGTGTGTGTGTGTGTGTGTGTGGAGGGGGGTGATTTAAGGCGATTTAAGGCTCGGCAAAGTTGAGCCCAGCTCAAGTTTCCAAGGTGACGGGATGCAGACACAACCTGGGGTGAGTAAGTCAGGAATAAATGCCTGGTTCTGACATTTTCCCTCTCTTTTGTTTCATCAATCTCTTGGTCACACACACCGACCACGCCACCATGACATCTGTCTGGGTTACCACTCAGGTAACAAGAGCCTTTGTGCAGATGCTCAATTTGCACCCCTGCTCCCAGACTCCCACAGATCGCACAGCGAAAGGCCAAAGGAGCGGCGGTGTTATTAAGGCAGGAACCTGAAGGAAGCTGTAATCAAAGAAGTGATTACTTTATTGCACTTCAGCTCATGCATCCAGACACATCCAGTCGCATGTATTAGCTTTGCTTGTAATTGCTGTCAGAAGTGGCGGTGATGAGAACGCGGCACGGGGCCACTTCAGCTCCGCGGTGTGAAAACACACATGGGGGGGCGGTGGCAGGCAAGGTCAGTGATCCGTGATAGATCTGCAGGCAAGAAAAGCTTTCAGAAAAGGAGAAACTTGGCAAGGCCACAGAAGGATTGAACAGACCAACGTTGGAGGGATGGGTCACAAGAGACATTGTGGGGGGCAGCTGGCCACACTCTGCCCCCCCGTCTCTGTGTTACAAAAATCCCATCTCCTTCGCTGCCTCTGGCTTGACCGGCTTGGCAACAATCTCCATCTGTTCCCCTCTAAATGTCAGGAGATGCAACAAGAAAGAGAGAGGGAGCTGGTTTGTTGGAGAGGAAAGAGAGAAATTCAGATGCTGGAATGCCAGCCAGATTGATTACATAAAAACAACACAACAAATCAATGGCGGTTTCATTTAGGTCATCCTGTGTTGTGTTATCTAAAATGCTACCTCACTTTATGGCAAATCCTCCTCCAGGCACATTTTGTTTTGTTTTTAAAGGAGTCGCTGTTACTTTGCATGTTTATGTTGAAGTTAGCTTATTGATTGATAGTTGATTTGAAAATGTTCCTAAAACAAAAGTGAGTGATGCTTTTGTTTGGTTTTTTTTTCCCCCCGCTGGAACTATGTTCAAATGGAGATTAATGAGTGCTCCATAAACATTTGCAGCTCTGAGATATGGGACTGAATCAAATGAATCTGACCTTTTATGTTCTTTAAGAGGCTGCAGACACAGTAAACATACATAAAACAAGACGTTCAGTTGGATAAAACAGCAGATCAAGTCACTTATGAGTCTTTTACTTAAGTGTCTGTTGAAAAAGAAGTCGTTTATGGAAAGAAGCAGCAACACAAACCTGTTAACAGCCGATTCACTGAAGCTTTTAACTATTAAAGTCGTCTCCGTCTGTCTGTTAGCAAAATATCTCATGAACCGCTGAATGGATTTTAATAAAACTCAGAGAATGTAATTATCTGATGTACATCTACAACTGATTAACATTTGGAGTCAATCCAATTCAAGATGGCTGCCATGGTCAACTAAATGTAAAAAACAAAAAAAAATGTTTACAGTTCAATTAAGTCTAAAGATATTGCGCTAAAATTTGTCGTGATTGTAGCTTACACATATTCACAACAAATACCCCTAAGTGCTTCTCACTCTGTGAAACCCTTAATTATAACTATTGCATTAACTGTCACATCAACCTTCTTTGTTTGCAAAATATCCCATGAACCACTGAATGGATTTTAATGAAACTCTCAGGAAGTAATTACTGGATGTAAATCTACAACTGTTTAACTTTAAAGTCAGCCCAATTCAAGGTGGCCGCCCTTGCATATTGAAATTAGCAAACATAAAAGTAGCTATAATTCAGTCAAATTATCAAACAATAAGATTGGATGTGGTAGTAGCTGAGAGTCATTCACAACACATACTCTGACCGTAGGATTCCACATAAAAATACCATCATTTCTCAACTCTGGCGTAAAAGGTGCTGATCGATGTGCATTTCATAAGAAAAACAAACACAAGTGGACAACGTGGAAATATAAAACTGAAAAAGTGCGGAGAAAAACTAATTCCCCACTTTATGTCCTTTTTTTCCAACAGTCTGGCTTAATATTTACTGCTTTTATTGGACAACTGTTCTCATGAACAAGAGGTAAAAACAGCCAGCGGGAGCGGTAATAAGGGTCTTGCATTAATGTGATTGTAGCTCTTTAAAGCATCCTGTTGTAACTCAGCCTGCGTGGCACCACGTGTGTGTAAACACACACACACACACACACTGCAGGGGACACACACACACACACATGGTGCCACGCAGGCTGATTTACAACAGCATGCTTTAAAGAACTAAAATCACATTAATGCAGGACCCTTATATATGTATATATGTATGTATATTTACAGCGGGTAAAATAAGTATTGAACACGTCAACATTTTTCTCAGTAAATATATTACTAGAGG